AAAAGAATCCCCATATTCTATAAAAATAAAGTACATTTTGTCGACACACTTTCAAGACGAACATATTTTTGGGATACCGCAGTCCCATGTGGATCAGAAAATAGCCACAATGTAGTACAATTAAACCCTGATTAAGATAAATACTACCTACTTACACCAGACCCTACATTAATGCAACCACTCAAAAAAGTTTCACCCGAAAAAATCAGAGCTATCGCTCGTAACCCAAATATTGATTTACAATCAATTGGAATATATTCTAAATCTGATATCCAACATCACCTTAGAACACAACAGTTTCAGGAATTATTAACACAAATGGACACAATACAACGGCAGTCAATCGACCAGAATGTAAGAAAACTTGCCGAAACCGCAGGATTTGCAGACATTTGTACACAAGACTATAGCGGATATTTTAAAGATATTAAAGACTACATATATTTAAACGGTGGAAAATACAGACCACAAGATATTTCACCTATAAATAATTTCAGTTTTGTCACCTTAAAAAATGAATTTCTAGCTTTTCTAGGATGGCCCTATTACATCTTAGAAAAATTAACTATCTTATACGCCATGTTTATTTTTATACGATTTCTTTTTTTACTGTTAAAAGGAATCTATAACACATGCGCTATACACACACAAGTAAACCGACAAGCAAGTGTAGCACTTATACTATTTGCAGGATTTTTTTGGAATTTTTTGATTATCAATTAACAAAATACTTCTAGATGCACAAATATAAGAATCTATTACAAAAATAACCACAAGACAAAACACATACGACGAAGAACATAATAATATAGAAATAACACCTACCGCACCACAGTTACCACCCTTACCACAACACCATCCATTATCATTAGTTCCCCGTAATTTCTGAAACCTAGCAATCACAAATAATCCAAATTCTAGACCAAATCACAAAGTCTCATCCAACACATAATGACACATCATTCACAAAATGATAATACATATGAACAAATTATAGAACAACCTCACACCACCACTTTTCAATCTCAAAATAATCATTTTTTTAGCCCACGATGAGCCGACAACTTGGATCCCTCCATCGCTCAAATTCCCACCCAGCCAACCTCCAAACTCCTATCCCATTAATCCCACTTTTTGCTTTCCCACCACCCGATTTTCCAATTATTAATATACCATCAAGCACGAATTCTGATACTAACTCAGATGTTTCGGTTTGTCATACTATCTCACAATTTAATAACGCTAATGTAGAAACCCCCGACGAATTTGCAGACTCCGAACCATCTCCCTCTACCCATACCCAAACCAACTCCTCAGTTTTTTCAAAGCCTCCTTTTCAACCACTACCATCCGTTTCCATTCCTTCTTATGCTACCCAGGTAACACCAACCTATTCTCCACTTCATTTCGACAGATCATATAATAATTCCCCAGACACCCTACAAATCTCCGAAGAACTTGATAAATTTATTACTTTACAACAACAATTAATACGCCCTAACACCCTTACAATACATCAACTATCATCCACAATAACATCCTCAAATCCACCTACCCCCTCACCCTCCTCAGCTTACACTCCATCATTAGCACAATCATGCATATCCACTGAAACACCTACCAGTACTAACCGAACTTATCGCACTTTTAAACGAAAATTTCCAAATCACCCATTCCCAACCAAACCCGGAACAGCCCGCGAATATATCAATCACCCGGAACACACAAACACGAAAAAGTTTCTCGAAATCACATTACCCTCATTTCCGCAATATACATTAAATACACCTACCATTGCTAACGATACACGCAATTTTGTTGATGAGCACGTTCTAATGCCAACACTCCACTGGACAGCTTATTATCATTATACTAACTCCCTCTGCCTACCATTAGCTAATACTACTGAAAATATCGAGAAAAATAAAAACATGTTTCTCACCACAACACTAACACCTCGAAAATTTACTTACGTTGGATATAAAAAATTATTAAAAATATTCACCGCACCCCGAGCTAACGATTTTGCAATTGATTACTACGATCATAATATCATCCGCCCTAATCAAGATCAATTTTTAGATGAATACCGCTTCACAATTCCGCAACTAACAGAAACATTTTTCATTAAAACATCATACGTATTTACACTCAATATTTTTGACAGAAAGCAGGGTCATTTTATTTTCGAATCACTTGTTGATATTCAATCATATGAAAGCTTCTATGATAAATTTTAGTTATTTTCACTAACCTTTTACTTTCTTTCACCACAGGAACGCGATTTGCACTGTTACCCCGATATTATGTTACGCACTAAACAAACGCACACATATACATATTATCGTTTTATACAAAATCTTTTTGATTTTCACACTCCATCAAGACAACCTCACCATCGTTTTCAGTTTCTTAACTCAAAATACACGTCACCATTTTTCTAAATTCTACATTTTGCATTAAAGATACTAACCTACACGGCATCCTCCGCAACTATGACCCAGTTATCCAAATGTACATATTCTGTACCATCACAAAGACCTTCAATGCTGAAGAATCAAGATCCTTCCTTATCCCGCATGAATTTATCACACCTTTTGAAATACCCATACTGGAATTCATTCACAATACTAAATACAACCATAAAATATATAACCTCATCCAAAACACACCTTACGAGTTCGCAGTAGGCACAGAAGAACTAAACACCATCAAGGCACTTTAATTGCTTTGGCCACTGCTACAAACTAAAAACATCCTACGCATACTAGCCAAGTTACTAACAACATCAGACATGATTCACGACATCTTCACCAACGGCTTTTTCCCATAAGACTAAGATAACTATAAATTAAAATACTTTTAACTAATAAATTCAATTGTGTACTAACCATTTTCTATCAATGTTTGATTTATTCTTTTAGTCTTCACACCACAATCATTTACAAAACAGAAAAAGACAAATAAAAATACGAACTTGTTATATTATATTCAAACTCCTTAATCTTTAGCACTAAATAATGTAGTAAAATTCATACCCATTGTAGTAATTTCATTTATAAATTATTTCCCCACGATGCAGTAAAATTAAATACGATGAAAATTTATAATTTTAAACTTCCCCAAATCGCAGTAAAATTCAGATTCTATGCAATAAATTGATAAAATGAGAAAACAGTACTAACCTTTTCAATATTTTTATTCATTCTCACAAGAATTCTATCCAAACTCACACAGCTCGCCCACGAAGAGTGTTTAAATAATGATCTTAAGTTTCAAACTTTCACTATCAACAACTCTAACACACGATAACAAGTTTCAAACTTTCCTTAAATCCGGTTGGAAAGGAATTATATACTAAATCAAACTAACCAACGCAGCTTACTAAACACCACAAGTAACAGCATGACTAAGAAAAGAAAACCAACGGTACCCAAACCGGATTAACCCAGTTTAAAACTGGATAATTTATTCTTTTGAAGACTATTATAAAGTCTAAGAAAGAAATAATAAAACACAAAAAAGTCGCAAGACAAACCCAAACCAAAATTAAATCGATTTTTGAAAAAAAGACACAACCAAAATAACATAAGAAAGACCATAAGACCAGAAAAAACCAACATAAAACGTTGTCACATAACAGGACCTCTCAAAGAAATAGCATCGAATCATACTCCTACTCCTGGCCTAACCCGCCAGAGAAGGTTGTCCTGGGCATGCTTATAGCCGGCCTAACCCACCGCGCTACCTACACTCTTTGTGACCACACTTCAATTTTTAATAAGAGGTACTCAAGGGTGAGTAACTCGTCAAAATAACGGAACTAAAACAAATTGCTTTTGTGAAAACGACTAACTAAGTTCATGATTAAAAAACCAAACTAACATCAGTTTAAAAAATGTAAATCATACTTTGCAGTATATAGATCATACACAACAACAAAGACGAACATCCAAAGACTAGACGATCCCATCACACTCGAAGAAAAGAGTGGCTAAACACAACCGACATGCCGTCCACAATCACGACTCAAAGGATTTAGAGTACGACTTGACTTCGCAGAAAAGGACTTCATTGAACTAGACCAATGACCACCTCGATGCTCAAGTATACATACAGATCCGAGTTACAAGGCATCCCTTCGAAACACGATCTTCACGCCATTCCCAAACGAGGCTGCACACAAACAGTTCTCTACTAATACAGAAAAACCTGACATAGCAAACCATTTTGAAATCGGATTGATTTCATTGGGGATCACAGTCGTTGTCGAATGACGTAATAACAACTTCCTATCCCTGATTCCAGCTCCTGGAACGTTCTTCTTCAAGAGGAACCGGATAAGAAAATGATGTTCGCCAAATACCAATGTTCATCATCCATCCTTCAAATTGCAGAGAAGAAAGATAGTTCTAAAAAACTCTGTAAACCCCGGATGGGTGGAACCTGATCTAAACTACATTTTATTATTGGATAAATTAGATATTTTACCACTGTAAAATATTTAATATTAACCAATCATAATCCATCCAACTAACAACCCACTTATTTGTAAGTGCTGAAATTACTTGTAATTTCAGCACCAGAGAGATTTGAATTTAACTTAGAAATTAGTTACCTCTCCAAGAGAACTTCAGTAGTCGCAATAAGCCAGTATACTCTAGATCTATCGAGCCTAGCAGAGACTAGTTAAAACCCTGAGACTAGTAGATATAAGAGTAAGATTAGGATCGGTATTAGACTAAGAAGTTGCACGAATCTATCCGGCCGTAAATTAAGATAGCGTGACGAGCAGACGATGTACCCTATCCGAAATTACTCTATGAGTTAACCTCAAGGACCTAACTCACATTGTACCAAACTTCTTTTATTGTAATTTTACCCAGATTTTACCTGTTTTACATCTTTTAACCTGAAATTTAACCTGAACTAATTTGGGTTTCGGGCGACCAAATTTGCACAGTTTATGGGTGACCAAATTATAATATATTCCATTTTAGTGAGCTGTCAATCGAACTGGGTTACTTTGCAGAATTCAATGATCAGGTATAGTGTTTTTAATTAACGAAAAAAAAACAAATGGTTTTAACTGATTTAATGTTTCTGTTCAATTTTTAGGTGTTAAATTTGTTTCTGTTTACCAAAATCCGATTTTTTATCCTTCATCCTTAATCAGTTTTTCCATCCAGAAACTCCGTCGTATCAAAATGCAAAAAAAAACAAATTTTTAAAACTTATTCCTCGAAGCAAGATAAAAAAAATTAGAAAATAAGTGCAATTTGGTTGCGCGAAAAAAAAACTATTTGGATCGGCAGAAAGTTATCATTTGTCAACCTAATGAAAAATGAACTCACAAAAAAGCAATATATTTTCGTTCTGGTCCACAAAATTTGAAAACGAATGCGCTTTCACTGCTGGAGCAAAAACCCCAATAATCTGACGTGATTATTTTACACTTTAAAATCAACCAATTTGGCCCCTAGTAATTTGAGTTTTGTTAAGAACAAGATTGGTTTGAGAATATGGAGGTGGACGAGCTCGATCGCTATTTCTCTATCGCAGCTATTGCTAGTACGAATTCCCGACGAATTGATACGAAGGAACCTCAGTTACCTCGGAACGCATCCTACAACTATGTCAGTCTCGGTGATGCTTCTGTTGTACGCTTTTCTTAACATGGTTTTGATGGCAATCATACGACCGCTTTGGATTTTTCGCAAACCATCAATATTTTTTTTCGACAAAATTCTGCCGTGGTCGACTACGCATCTAATTTGTTGTCCAAAATGCATAAAAGAGCGAGTTGAATCAGGAAACTCAGCCCAAACACCAAGAGAAGATCAAGTTCAGCCAGCCGAGAACAGCCATAGAAGTTCAGTCCAAAATTCAGCCCAAACTCCCAGAAAATCCCAAGCTCAACGGACCGGGGGCAACCAGCGAAATCCAGAAATCTTGTCTCCAGAAACATTTCAAGCTGACAGACAGAATTCAGAAGCGACTGAGGCCTTTCAAGCCATCATTTTGAGGAGTTTGGCTGGTGCTTCTGGGAGTCAGAACCGGAGAGCGAATCCTGCAACTGATTTTCAAGGAATTCGAAGCTCTAAAACAGCGAAAACTCCCAGCGCACCCTCAACTGAGCTCTCAAACATTGGTGGTGACTCGAATGAATGTTCGATATGTAATGAACGTCCCAGAGATGCTGTCATTTTGAACTGTGGACATTCTTTGTGCCAGGTATGTGGCCAAGAGCTTCGAAGAACAGGAGCGACATGTCCATGGGACCGAAGACCGATTGTGAATATCATTCCAGTCTACAACTCCTAATTTTTAAAGACTCATAAATGCGACCAGTCGTTCTGATAACCAATAAACCGATACAAATTGCAACAAAGAATGAAGTCACAAACTTTAAATATATTTTCCAAGTTCAACTAGGTGCTTGATTCAAAACTTAATACTTTTTAGATGAAAAACAAAACAAATTTACTGATAGGAAAACAGAAAATATCCTTAAACTATTGCAAACATTGAGCTTAGAAAGGTTTGGAAGAGAAGATTTTAACTCATTTTAAGTCATAGAAAAAAGGTCTTTAGGAACCAATTTTTTATCGAGAAGAAAATTAGATGCTTTATTTGCTTTCATTGAACCTCATTTTTTAGAAGTTTGAAGTGTTAAAATGCTGGTAAAAATTGTCACTCTTTTTTTTTGCCTTATTTTTTGTTCCAATTGTAGGCATGTCCAAATTGTGGTTGCATGACCAAAAAGTTTGAGCAAAAAATATTTCAAAAACAGTGTCAATATTTTTCCCAAATAAAACGTTCATTAAACATTAGTTCTTGTCAATTTGCGGAGGAAAAGACATGTTACTTATTTTTGTATTTTACGGTGATCAATAGCTATCTATTCAAAAATTGAGATTTACAATTCGGTAAATATATCTTTTCTCAGAGTCGTGGATTTTTCATCCAGAGCTAGCCGGATCCCTTTTTCGAATTTTTGAAGAATTTTTGTTCACTCTTTTTGTGTTGACCAAATTGAACTTCCGGGCTCTCCCATAACAATATTAGGTGATATGGAGCCCGGCGTTTCTCTACCGCTGGCAAAAAAAAGTTGATTGCTGTTAGCAAGGCTAACTTCAAAAAATAATCTCTCCTCAGATCGATAGGTTATTGGCGTCCAAGGCGCCTTTAGAAAACTTTCAATGCTGATTGGCCGAAACATTCAGCGACATATCATCAAAGTGTCATTATCCCGAGAAAAGCAGCGATTGCCAGTGATAATGGAAAGAAAAATGATTTTCTGTTTTTTGTTTCAGTTTTTCGAGTTCTTCAGTTTTTCAGAGTGTTCGTGTAGGAAGATATTTAATATAATCCCAGATCTCCATACACAAATAAAAAATTCTCATCATACAATTTCAAAATAAAATTACTTGCTTTTCTTTACTTTCTTACATTCCGCCCCTGATATGAAGTCCGCCCCTGATGCTCCCCTGATATGAAGCTCCGTTTAATTCAAAAGAGTTTTTTTTCGGAATTCAAGGAGAGCACAGTAAATCAATAAGTCTACCCTAGTCGATCAAGGGAGGTTATCTTGCAAGATCTTGCAAGAATCTTGCAAGATTCTTTTAAAGAGGATGCATCTCTTTAAAAGATCTTGCAAGATTCTTGCAAGATCTTGCAAGATAACCTCCTTTAAAGATAACCTTTTTTTGCAAGATCTTTAAAGATACAATTTTTTTGGGCAAAAACAGCTTTACACGCGAAGACAACCAAGTAGCGTTCGTGGAAGAAGGAAGCAATCTTAGCTACGCATACATACACACAGCCCGCTCAAAAATCTCAACTTTCAAAACTCAAAGAAAAAAATAGAAGCCCTTTAAGCTCTTTAAATTTCTAGAACAATTTATGATGGGCGCTTTTTTGATAACATGAACCCGACTTGAGAAAACTGGATCAATAAGTAAAGTTTTTATTCTCTGGAAATCTAAAAAGTAAATTCCACTTTCAAAACTAGAAATCGATAGTCGAAAAAACTAAATATCCCCGGTTTGAACTAATGAAAGCAATTCGTCACAAAAATTTTTTGGCCAATAATCCTTCAATTTTCGCAAACCAGTAGCCGCAATAATTGCGAATATATTAAAAAGATTTGATTGGTTGATACTTTTAATCTCATTGAATAAATTAACAACAAATATGCGACTACTTTTTAACGCATGATTTTTGTCTAATTTTATTCGTTAAGCATTTAGAAACATCTCGTTCTAGAAATTTTATTCGTTAAGCATCTCGTTCTAGAAATTTTATTCGTTAAGCATCTCGTTCTAGAAACAATTTTTTTGATCTTACACCTAATTTCTGTTATTTTTTTTGTGTTTTTCGACAGAAATTTTGGGATGGTTATCTTGCAAGATTCTTGCAAGATTCTTGCAAGATAGCCTCCCTCTTTCAAGATTCTTGCAAGATAACCTCCATCTTGCAAGATCTTGCAAGATAACCTCCATCTTGCAAGATCTTGCAAGATAACCCTCTTTTGCAAGAATCTTGCAAGATCTTGCAAGATAACCTCCCTTGATCGACTAGGGTAGTTTCTTCAATTCAGAATATGGGATATGCATTTCCCTGGTTGACCTCCATAGACCGAAAATTCTAATCATAAAACTCTATAAACTTATCTATCAAAACATACCAATAATATCAATTTAATACAAATTGCTAAAATAGTGTCATCGATTTTTTCAAAGCATTTTTTCTGGTTTTGCCCTTAAAATCGGTGTATCGCACTAATTAGAAACTAATTTTTTTTGTCAAAAAATGCTCTCATACAATTAAAATATATGGAACTTGTATGACTAGCTTTTTTATAGCGACATGTAATTTCAAAATTGCCCCAAAAAATTTTTCGCGTTTTTTTTTTTCAAACGCGAGTCGAAATTTCTTCTCAAAAAACATTTGAGTTTTTCAAAAAAAAATTGCATGTAAAATTTAATTTTTTTTTGTGCATAACGTAGTCATAGATGTTGAATTTTTCATTGTCGCATAATAGTTAATTTTTCAAAAACGTTTTAAACTATTTTTTTATGGCAAGTTTGTGTATGTCTTCATTAATGTCTGATAATTTAAAAATTTAGATTTTAAAAATAATCTTCGTTAAAATTTGCCAAAATTTAAATATTTGTTACTTTTGTTATACCCTTTGTGTAAAACAGCTCTATAAAAATTCAGGTCGTTTTCGCAAGACCAACCAACCTTTGGAGACTCCAGCTTTGAGTAGAACAAGGCCTTTGTCACCTGCGTTTGTTCACGAGTACAACTCAAAATTTTTCAGAAACTAAATTTAAAAAAAAAAAATTTTTTTTTGGTTTATGGAGAAATACTTGTCATACAACTTTCCTATTTGGATAAGTACTTGTCATAGAAATTTCGTACAGTTTTCTGTACGTTTGGAGTTGTATGATACGAAGTATTTCATATATATAAAAGCGTATGAGTAGAAGTTGTTTGATTAGAAATTTTGGTCAACTCGGGTTTCTTATATCGGCCTATTTTTTTCGTGCTGTGTAACTCAACTTACAAAGATCCAGAAATCCAGTAGATTAGAATTATGCCCAGTTTTGTAAGTCGCGTTCGAGTTTATTGAAAAAACTCATCAAATATGTTTTTTATTCTTCAAAAAACATTTGTCTGCATTGTTAGCTTATGCTTGTTAGCTTATCTGGATTGTTAGCTTATGATTTGCGCACTGGACTTTCATGATGAAAAATTGGTTGATCTGGATTATCATTGAAAGATTCCTCTGAAATCAAAAATGATTGATTATAATAAATGAAAATGGATAATTATCTTATTCTTTATCAATCATTAAATCCCTGTACATCGATCATAACCATTTAACATAGATTTAAAAAAAAATTATAAATTTTTCTGAAAATTTTACACACAATGCAGTACATTAAAAAATTAAGTTCTTTTTAGTATTTACGCATTACATAAGATCAAATAAGGTTCACTTTAGCTGAGAATGTGGTTATCTTATCTTCAATTTTTTTGTTCACCTTTTTTCTCATAAGTTTTTTTTAGCTTGTATTTTTTTTGCTGACCCATGCGCTTACCCATTCCTCCCCCCCCCACCCTCGCAATAACGAAAAGTTTGCAGCTTTTGGCAAGTAAATCAATTATAATGAACTTGAATGGAATATAATCAATGATAATAGATTTCAATGGATTGTGTTTGACGCAAGTAATCGATTATAATGACAATATAATTGTTTCCATGGCCTGAATTTACGACAACTATAGATTATTTTGATCCAATTTTGGAAAACATTTATCCGTCATAATCGATTTTTTTCCACGGAACTTTGGTGCTGGCTGAGATCAAATTAGCAAATCATTTGCAAACAAACTAATTAGATTGATTAAAAAAGAAAGCATACAAAAATCTATACTAAGCAGTAGCTTAAAGTTTGAAAATATTAGTTGATTTTGTTGTATTATAATTGTTTTGTAAAAAAAAAGAAACATTGGCTGTCTGCATTCAGTCTTCACCTTAGGTTTGCAATTCTGAAGTCAACATGTCAAAATCAAACATTTAATTTTTGTCGTTAGGTTCCTTTCCAGATCTTGCATATAACGTTAGACAAGCAGCAGGCTCGTTGGTATTAGGGCAAATCCGAATGAACTTTTGTAAAAACCGTTTGAAACAACAAAGTAGGCTGGAGCAACCAATCTTAGTTAACGAAGATCTTAAGCACAGTAGTTTTGAATTTTTTATCTACCCATCCACGTCCTCCGCTACCTGCCCCTCCACCAAAACACCCACGTCTACCGTCCCCCCGCGTTTTACACCCCCATGCGTTTACCCCACCATCACTAATCAGTCCCACCCAAAGATCCACTGGAATAGGTATATCGAGCTGCAACAAATAAGTAGGCTTGATTTCAACAAGCAAATGAAAGAAAACTTTTTCATCACATTTTCTTCGTTTTCTCAGCAACTAATTAAATAAAGGGTTGAAATTTTATATTTTGGGGGTAGGGGTTAACGTGGGTATGCAAGAGGTCAGATTGTGATACTAGCGAACAGAACTGAGTAACAAAAACTCATCATAAAAATGCAATGGAATTATTTTAGGATAAAATTTAGTGAGAGAACAGAATTGTGGCACTGCGTTAGCAGTAGCTGACCTTGAGCGACAGCTAAACGGTCACTGCAACTGCAGTAAGCGTATTTATTAATGTTATATAATTACATTATTATTATGTAAGCGTGGTCAAGGCCATCGGTGGTGCTAGAATCGTATCAATGATTTATTCAGTGTTATGTACTCTCGTATGCAA